ATGTAAATAGTAACTAACGAAAACTGACTGCATGATGTACGATGAATGGCCACGATCATAGGATTTCGGGATCCCCAGGCGCAGGATCCTTTTCCAAAAAAAGTATTATTTCCTCTTCCAAACATTTTTAACTAACTTCCTTCAAATTCTACCGTTTACCAAGAGAACTTAATGACGTTAGGGGATATGACAAATTAATCATAACCTTAACCGAGTAATAAGGTGTTGAAATGCACATTTATCTTCATCAAGGTCTAAAATATCGATCATATCGGAAATATCGGTAGTCCAAAAACATGGAAATTTCGATGGAAATATCGGGATATTATCGATATCGATAAAAATTGAATAAAAACCACGGAAATTGTAAGAAAAACTTGGAAATTTGTATTGAAACTTTGCAGGATGTTTATTTAATCAATTATCTATTAGTTTATCATAAAAAATTGGAAGGAAATGCATTGCATGATGGATTTAACTGATTTAAGTTGATTATATAGAAAGCTGGCAAACATTGTGAGTGTAGAAAATATGTAGTAATTAATGAAAGAAGTTTAAACACACCATAATCATTTATATATAATGAATTAGTACAATATTTTACACTTTATACATTGCATGGTAAGATACATGAGTTACTTAGTACCATATAAAGTTCCTATGAGGTTCAAAATTTTCACTATCTTTATCATCCCTATGTGTAGAGTAAGTGTATTGTGAAGAGTAGTCATCAAATGATAAATCCCCAAAATAGTTTTGCATGTAATTGTTAACATGTCACCCATATGGATCCAAGATTGGTTGACGTTGTCCATAAGCAAAATCATTTAAAGATTGAGTCTCGGATTCTTTCCATGAGTCACTCGATTCCATCCCAACAGGAATGGGATATGAAGGGTAGGGAAATGTTGGTTATGAGTATAACCATGGTTACTACTTCCCACTCCAATATAGCTCAAAGTTATAGATAACGAGTCATCTTCTTGACTTGACAAATTCCCCTTGCCTCTTTCTCTACGAGTATAGTCCTTCCCTATGACACCAATTCCTGGTCCTGCCCTCCTCCTGCCATGGTCCTCATCCTGTGTTGCATGCGTGAAGTTTGCCTCACCAGTGAAGGGGCTCATAAATCCGAGAAGTGGTCCAACATAGTTTCCATATCCACCACTACCTCCAACTCCATTATGTCCTTCATCATTCCCATCTCCGGTGGTAGGTGAGTCTCCTGATCTTGTACTAGAGTTATCATTAGTATCAGCAGGATCTTGTGGTTGTGTAGGATTGGAAGAAAGTGGAATTCCAGTGTTTCTTGGTCTTGGGCGCAAAAGTTTTTCCAAAGAGTCAACGCTGCTAGATCCCACCTCCTCCTCCAATACTTTTTCTACATTTATCCCTTCATTACGTGCTTCTTCAGCAACTCTTAGAGCTGGGTTGCCTTCATCATCATCATCTAAATGAAGAGGTCTAATCCATTGATAAAGTTGGTTACCCTCTGTATCATCATCTTCAGCAACAATATCAAACACATCTAGTGGGTCACCACGGTCGACATGATCTATTTCTGCTTCCTTATCTTGAATTTGAAGCTTCATGTTGTAGTAGCAATAAACTAATTTTTCCAACCTACTATGAGCCAACCTATTTCTTTGCTTTGTGTGTATGAGTGTAAATGTACTCCAATTTCTTTCACAAGCAGATGAGGAAGTTGTTTGTGATAATACTTTGATTGCTAACTTTTTCACAGTTGGTGCATCAGTCCCATACATGATCCACCATTAAGCTATAATGAAAAACAATGTTAATAAGCCTAATAACTCCAACAAATTCTATTATAAACTGATAGTGAAATATGTTTACACTCACTAGGAGACATTTTTGTTCGATCAGCAACTGATGTTGGTTCTCCAAAAGTTCTTCTTGCATCTTTAAACCATGTTGGCTGAATTCAATAAATCGTGTTAGTTTAATCCAACAATGTAATTATTATAATTTAAGTAATTGTGTACCTCATTTCCAAATTGGCCAAGTGATGGTGATGTAGGGTCTAATTTAAAGTATACATTATGTACAACACGTATAAGGGTACCATCATCTCCAACACCGGGTCTGTATTGGTATTGAGGATTCAAATAATATGATATTCAAAGAAACACATACTCTAATAAGAGAAATAATATTTATGCAACTAAAGAAATGAATTGCAAATTATGACATAATTTATACACGCTGCATGTAAATCATGGTATAATGTTTTATACCATCGGTCATCAATTATCTTTATGACCCACCTTGCACCATGTTTTCTTTCCAAGTCATCCTTCACTACACGCATCAACTCATATATTGCCCCCATAGTAGGATACACTTCTGTGTCAACAATCCGTAAAACTTTGTAAAGAGGTTCAAACACTTGACACACATGTTCTGATTGAGTCCAAAAAGCATGATCAAGCAATATACTTTTCACCATACGACTTGCATTTGAGCAGCTGAAATTGTGGTTGGCCCAATCGTCACTAGTGAATAGTTGCTTCAACCCTGCTTTCTTCTTAAGTAGGTTGTCTAATGCAATATAGTTGGTAGCGAATCGAGTGGTAGCTGGACGAATAATTTTTCCTTTGCAAAATTCACGCATCTTTGCCAACAACCAACCGTGATTGTAAATATAATTTGTGATCGTTCTAGCTCTTTTTACGACAGTAGCAATATTCTCTCTCTCTTCCCCATTGCCTCAAACATGAGATCAATACAATGTGCTGCATATGATGTCCAAAACACATTATGATGCTTCATTAACTTTTTCCAGCTTTGACAAATGCAGAACCGTTGTCGGTCACGACTTGGACAACATTATGTTTTCCCATTTCCATGATTACATCCCTTAATAATTTGTAAATATACTTGTAATTCTTTATATGATCTGAAGCATCAACAGACTTCAAAAAAATTGTCTTTCCCTTGAAGTATACCATGAAGTTTATGATAGACAATTTGGTCGGGCCAGTCCATCCGTCACACATGATTGTGCAACCATTAGTTTCCCACTTGACCTCAACTTGTTAACATACTCGCCAATGTCTTTATACTCCATTTCCAAATATTTGTTTCTTACCTCATAGGAGTGGGAGGTTGTACTCCAACACCGGCCTGTTGACATCCCAATACCATATTTTTGAAATGATGTGATGATGCCTTCTCAGCAGGGACATTTTCATAGATAAAGAACTTGCTAATTAGACGCCCCATTCCCTCCTTCACATTACCTCCAGTGAAATAACTCCAAACACTCTTTTGACGTGCTTTGGATGACTTATATAAACTTAGGGCTATTGGTGGTGTTGGTTGTGATTCTCTAACACATGCTGCCTGTCTCATTTGTGAACCACCACTTGTCCCGGAACCTTGTGCTCTATTAGGAATTTTATGAAGGTGTTCTCTTTCCCATGCTGACTGTTGAGAGGCACATAATGCTTGTTTGAAACTGCATTGTTCTTTAGGTCCCATGTCATCATCACGTTCGTCCTCATCGTCATCATCATCACTGTTAACCGCTTGGCCAATGACTTCTCCTCGTAGCCCAGCTCGAATATTTTCCATTCCATGTGTTTTCTTTTCCTTCTGGTGTTTTTTATTTTTTAATAATGTGCTGATGAATGCCTTCACTTCTGGAGGGACATTATCGCATTGTTGGACATTATTTCCTGGATCTAATCCACTAAGATGGTACTTAAGTCGTGTCACTCCGCCACTCTTCATTACCCGACCACAATATTTGCAAATTGTGCCATGTTTGTTTCCGTCTACTAGGTCTCCATTTTCCCAAGCTGGATCACGTTTAGTAACTCCACTGGACATCTTAAACGTACCTATATTTATTTTTCATGGAAATTAGGCAATTATTTTTTGGCCAAAAAATATAGTAGTGACGGAAACATATTAAATAGGAAGTAAAGAAAATAGGAAATAAAATTATTCTACAGAAGAATTAAATAGGAAGTAAAGAAAATGTTTGTAAGAATTTAAGTAATTATAAAAATAATATGGAATAATAAAACCTAATATTAATGAATAATAATCCAATTTGATAATAAAATAATAAATAACATTAAACATATTAAAATTATTCTAGGGAATAATTATACAACATTACTTAATTACTTCAAAAAATTAACATGCAAGTATTATTTGGTTCTTAGATCACATGCACGGGTCCACACAAATTTTGTTGTTGTTGTATAAATTACAATAATATAAATATAAGTTTGTAAACTTACCTTAAATATGGAACCCTTTGTGTAAAGGCCAAATAGAATCTGCGTGGAGCAACAATAAAATAATAATTACACAAATGTAACAAATATGGAACTTTCGATGTCGTACATAGCAGCAAAGCCTCGACGATCCTCTGCAGCTTGCCGTCTATGAATAAATGAGAGAGAAAGAAGGTATTTAACATTTAATTTGGAGTGGCGCGAGCTGCAGATCCATTTATTCAGTTTGAAGCTCTGAAATGGCTCTGAAATGGCTCTGGAATGGCTCTGAAAGGGCTAAGGGAAGAATAAGAAACGAAAAGGTGTAATAGAGGTTTTTCAATTTTCGAAGGGTAAAAAAATGTGTGATGATCTAATACTCCACCTCTAAGAATGTGAAAAAATATCACGCGTGACACACAGTTTTGAATCTTGATGAAACCACAATTACTTTTTAATTTTTATCTTGTCAAAAGTTGTAAAAGTTGTCAAGAGTCAAAGACACGGTTTTGAATTATTTGGATGTTTTGTTTTTCTCACACGCCATCACACACACACACACACAGTCAGAGACTCACACGCCACCACACACACACACACAGATCGAGATTCGAGAGCCCACACACGCACACAGAGACCTCAGTCTCTCGATCCTTCTCTCTTCTCCCTTCTCCCTTCTCCCACACACACACACACAGATCTCTTGATCCTTCTCTCTTCTCCCTTCTCCTACACACACGCACAGAGACCTCAGTCTCTCGATCTTTCTCCCACATGTCCTTCTGCTCCTCCCTTGCCTTCCTCCTTGTCCGCGTCTTCCGCCTCGTCGGCGCCATCTCCATCTCCTGTGACCTCTACCTCAAGTTTGTCATCCCCATCAGCGCCCTCTACGCCATTTCCCTCTGCTCCTCCCTCGCCTTCCTCCTCGTCCGCATCTTTCGCCTCGTCGGCACCGTCTGTATCTCCCGTGACCTCTATCTCAAGTCGGTCATCTCCACCGGCGCCCTCTACGTCCTTTCCTTCTGATTCTCCAATTCCGCCTACATCTTCCTCTCCGTCTCCTTCATCCAGATGCTCAAGGCCCTCATGCCTATTGTCGTTTACTCCATCGGCATCGCCTTCAAGAAGGACGCGATAATATCGATATTATCGCGATATTATGGATATTATCTTGATATATTGACGAAAATCAATTGGATAGGTGTAGAAATATCAGACTCTCACAAAAACGATAATATCGACGATATTTCGCCAATATTATCGATATTTTAGACATTGATCTTCATGACTTATTTTAAATGAAAATTAAAATGATAAATTAATAATTTCGAAAAAATTAATATTGACAAATCGTTGAATTTGACGTGCATAAAGGAAATAAAGTTGGTTGGTCGTTATCCTGTGCGCCCAAATCCACATGATCCCGGTTACAGCTTCAACACCGAATGCCACTCCTTCCAGCCAGTATTCACGATCATCCATCTGCTGTAAAAAAATTCTCGAATCACTTTATCACATCACGCCACGTGTCCAATCTCACCGAGGAGGTTCCACACAGAAGCGCAAACAGAAAGAGAAATAAAATGCGAGAAAAGAGAGAGTGCGGGAAAGAGAGAGAGAACCAAGAAGAATCAGATATGGGTAGTTCAGCCGACGGAGAGGATTTCTCAGTGGTCGTTCTGGCGTCCGATCTGGGCGTAGACGCGCGGCCGTTCTTGGCGAACCAAGACAGAGAGATTGAAGAGCAAGAGAATTGGTACGACTGCCCTCAGAACCTTATCTCCGACGAGGACTTCTCTGATCTCGAGCTTTTGCAGTTCTTTAGTGTCGAGGGCCAGGACAAGTCTGGAAATCGTATTTTCCGCATCGTCGGAAAATATTTTCCCGGTAAACAAACAGATCCTTACACTCCTTAATTGCTATTAATAGTATGTGAATTGTTAATGTTTGGTTAAATTTGTTGATTAAATGAGAACTGATTCCTTAGCTGAAATGCAAAATTTTAGCTCTCCGTATCTGATTAAACTGCTAATTGGCATATCCTAGTTTATTTGGCATCTGGGTTTCGTTTTCGAAAATTTTCTGGGTTTGTTTGGGTAAATTGTAATTGGTAATTTTGGTTTGTTCTTTCAAGTTCAACCTTTGGCCTTTAGGATTGGATCGGAATGGATAATCTGCCTTATTAAAGATACGTTGAAGGAATAAATGAAAAATAGTGCCCAACTTGGAGGTTGGGGGTGGATTAATTCTTAAGGGAACTTATCCTTCCAATCCACCCAAAATGGTGGGATTAGAAGGGATAAGCTTCCTTTATGTGCAATCCCCTTCTAATCGCCCTCCAAATAAAAAGTCATTTACCGCTTCCATCCTTCAATATACCATAATATAGTGGGTTTTGATTCCAATCCAATCCTAGAGACCAAATGAGACCTTTACTTTTATATATCTTGTTCAGTCTACTAGTTTAGTTTCATTGTTGTCCTTTTTTTCTCTTTGTATTTCTTCTGTTTGTTTGTAAGGGGCATCCTGTAAGAAATGGTTTAGTATTGAATTGTTTTGTGTATGCCAAGAGGAAGGTAACTATGAACATTAAGCTTGGGTAAAGAATAATGCGGGTTAAAATGACTGTATGTTCTTGAATATGTAAAATCTAAACACGAAATGGTTATCAAATGGGGCCTTCAGCTTACTAAAATTGTGCGGTGTTGAATAGTGAAATTCTTATGTTTCTAATAGCATGTATAGCATAAACCACCATTCCCCATAATCCAAGCAGAACAAAGTGGGTTTGAGTTTTTACGTTAGTGGGAAATTGAAAAGAGACGACTAGATTGATTTCTGAAGACCATGTCTCCCATCTTGTACTCTTCCTATAAGTGCTTACTTTTGGGATTTTTGCAAACAGTTAATTCAAGGTGTGGGGTAAGCTAAGCTAAGCTAAGTGGCTGGTATCGGACACGTACACTGTTGTTAGTTGAGTAACTCAAGCTTTAGATTCTGAGAGTATTTCAAGATCAGGTCTGGGAGGAGCAAATTGAGTTAAATTATCCTACATCCTGCACATATATTGCAATTGCATCCCTTTGTTGACGTTGTAGCACCTTGTGTTTTCTTCCGACGTGGCTTTTTTCAGATCAATTGCTTTTGAATTTTGTATTGGCAGGAAAATAATTAATTCACGATCCTTTGTTTTATTTGCCTTATTCTAGTTTTGGTGCCGCACATGACAATTGTTTAATTATCCAATTATCTTTCTGTAGCTCCAGTTGTTAGTGCAGACCGGCTGAAGAGGTATATATTCCACAAATTATGCAGTGAGGTCCCAGAAGGGCCATACTCCGTTGTTTACATGCATAGTACTGTGCAAAAGGAAGATAACTCCCCTGGCATAACTATCTTGCGGTGGCTTTATGAAGACCTTCCATCATACTTGAAGGACAGGCTTCAAGTTGTGTACTTCGTTCACCCTGGGCTCCGATCAAGACTTGTCTTTGCCACTCTTGGCCGATTTTTCTTAACTGGAGGGTGAGTATTTCATATATTTTGGATATAATTTAACAATAATAATGTCTTACTAATATATGAATAGATTAACTAAATGAATGAAAATGAGAGTTAGTGGATTAGACTGATTAGTATTTTCTGAGGATTGACAGGTCTCCTGACTTTGCTAATTAGTAAATACTGTCTTGAAACCTGGTGACTATTTAGTTCAGTGAACCGAAAATTTAGACATTTCTGCCTTTGATACGAGTAAGAATCATTTTGGCGTCTGATGTTAAACTTATTTGAATGACTGCTGTTATTTTGGTTTTCTTAGTGGGAAAAGGCTTTGTTGTTGGTGTCGGTTCACAAGACCTTGAGGCTTAAAGCAACACTCTAGTTTGTAGTCATGTAGATTAAGCCCAAGTATTCCTCAAAGGTTTTACTTCCTAAGTTTATAATTTCTCAAGTGAATTTATGTCAATAAGTGAGTTTATCTTTGGAAATTGAGAGGCATGATGCTGAACTTGATACACTGTTCTTCTAAAAAATTTATTTATGTGCAGCCTATATTGGAAAATCAAGTATGTAAGCCGGCTGCAGTACCTATGGGATGATATAAAGAAAGGAGAGGTTGAGATTCCTGAATTTGTCAAAAATCATGACGATGTTCTTGAGCATAGACCACTAACAGATTATGGCATTGAACCGGACCCTCTTCACATGCTTGAGGCTCCATCAACAGCCTACTCATTTGGAAGGTATGAGGAGAGATGGACGTCAAGAGAGTATACATCGTAATTTGGTACTTTGTAAACTGCCCTTGCCTAGTAATTTGGGTTTAGGCATCAATAAGCTTGGTTTGGGAAGTAGCTATCATATATATGCATATGCTTTGTACAGAAGAATAGTCTGATGTTGTGTTGAGTTAACTTATATTTGCTTGTTGCTTCTAGGCCTTGTTTCGTGTTTTCCTTTCTCTCTCCTAGATAGCTTATCCTTGTTTTGTTTTGTTTTATTATGTGTTCGGTAGGTTCTTTTATATTGTGTTCTTTTTCTTGATATCAAGTACGATATTCATTCATAAGAGATTTGAATGCGTACAGACATGGAGGATAGAGTACACACTAATGGGTTTCGGTAAAAACCTTGCTGAGGATTTCAACCTCGTCGAAGGAAAAAAGAGTGTTCCATACCAAAATTACAAAGATAAACTTTCCAACATAATGAAGTTAGGATAACTTATTTCTTAAAGTGACTTTAAAAAAAAAAAAAAGTTATGTAGACTTATAATTTAATTTTATGAACATTTTAACTTAAAAATATTTAGATTTCAAAAATATTGAAAAATCATTAATCGACACCATGAAACTCATGGACCAGTATGAAAGAATATTGACACACTCCGACCTGGAATGTCTACCTGGACTCCGAATCGAAATGTGTTGGTCGACACAAAGAAAGTGACGAAGCCATAAAATGTAGTAATGTTGAAATGTGAGTAATTTTGAACCAAAAAGTGCATAATTGTAAGAGTGCGCTTGTAAGCGGGAATGAAACCATTTCACTCGTGATGTTAGAGTATAGGTAAAGTAAAGTAGAATGAGAATTGTACCATCGAAGAGAATCTCCAATACCAAGATTTGTCAAGAATTCTCGTTGACACAAAAGCTCAACAACTAAAACCTAGAGTGGCGAAAAACAAAGGTGAGTGGGCTTAAAAATAAAGCTTTGTAAAAACCTTTTCAAAAACATAATAACTTCTCGTCGTAAAATGAGTATAGTTTTCAAAATATACATACTATGTATAGTATGAAAATAGTTACTATAACCTGCAATATCTCAAGAATTCAATATGTCACAATATTTCTTAGATAAACATCTAATGTTTGGTAATGTTCAACACATGCTAACACACGAGTTCATGTAGAGGTATAGGATTGGGTGTAATAATAATTTATGCTCTAATACTACAATCACATGAAGACTAGTGCTATGTGCGTCACATACAAATCCTAATGGCCTATAGCAATCTAGGACAACACTGGCACCTACAATGGATCCAAAGTGAGCATACGATGCGATGTGAACATATACGTGAAAGACTGGCCCTGGTCCCGGGTGAGACCTAACACCAATGTAGCACACGATGAGCAGATAACGTAAGTATAATCATGTAACGGTAAATCGATAATTCTAATTAATGCAATACTATTCATGGTTGTAAATCTAATTAAAGCATCATGTAGGATTTATAATGATTTCCTAATTCTCATCGTTACGTCATTTCTTATAAACGTTAATTTAATTATGGCATCACATATAAAATTCATTATTAGGTGTATATATGGAAACTAAACAAATATATATACTATATAAAATAAAAGACCCACTCACAAATCATGTCGTCGAGTCGAACCCGCCTTGTGGGCATAAAATCCTTGCGATGCGTTTCACCTAGAAACAAAACCATTTACGTAAATATATAACGTACTAACGTATATACGTGTTTTCGTACAAAGTACAGCTAATAAAGAAACTATTTTAAAACAGTTGAATTTCGAAAAATGGAGGGCGGATTTGGGTTCAACTAATCGAGAAACCTAAGGAGGGACTTCGGGTTCCTCCACGTGCCACCATAAGGTGGTTGCACAGGCAGCCATGCACCGCATACGCCAACCACCTTCTTGCATTCACGCGCTTATGAGTACGATTGTACTCGACTTCCTCGTGAGTTCCTGTAGTTTTGCAGGTTTTTGGTCTGATTTCCAGAGCTCCGTTCGAGCTCATTTCTCAGTCAAACTCAGTGATTCAAAAGCCAAATCAAAGTTAGAAATGTGGAGAACAAAATCGTACCAAAATGAGATCGAGTTGTGGTTGGTTCAGGTCGGAAAAATGGTTTGAAAATAGCCTAATAGTCACGGTCCAACTTTTCCAGAATTTTGGAAAATGCTTCCTCGAGTACTATCTATCCCAAAAGCCTAGCAAAACATGCCTAAAACCTTAAGGTTCTTCATAGAAAATGAAAAAGTAAAAGAGAAGGAGTTCTAGAGGTTTACCTTGGTTGCGTTGTGGAGTTTTTCCAAGAAAAATGGATGTGGCAAGGATGTGTTTTCTCTACACTTGCAGAGATAGGGAGCGATGAGAGAGGGAGGTAAAGAAAGGAGAGAGTTGGGTAGTTAGTGATGGTGTGGACTTCGCCTGAGTGGCGGTGGTGATGATCATACATGGTTGGTGATGTCTCGGTTGGCGTAGAGGAAGAAAGAGTGGGATGTGAGGGAGAAGAGAAGAAAAAAAGAGTGGGATGTGAGGGAGAAGAGAAGAAAAAGAAAAAAAAAAAAAGTGATCCCAGAGATTTCGAAGGTACGTGAGAGGAGGAAAGATTAGGGTGTGGGCCCCACTAGCTCACATTCCAATGCCATAAAAGACACAAAATTAAAAAACAAATCCCCACGACGGGTAATTACCGAAATGCCCTTTACATTCATAGTTTCGTAAGTTTTTAACCGTAACTTTGAATTTGATTCCGCTTGCGTCTACACGTTCGTGATTTCGGTACTACCAGAATACGCTAAAAGAATGAATCGTACATGTCGTTATACAATGACCAACGAAAGCCAACCCACTCGCCACAAGGGACGGGTTGTTACAATATGAAACACAAAAGAATTTTTTGTTTAATTACTTTAGTCATTTGATTTAAATTTGGACCGTTAGATCTTTTTTTTACCATTGAATTTGATCATATTAAATCTTAGCTGTTGGATCAATGAATTTATAATATAAAGCTTAAAAAATACACATATCAGGTGGGCCAGCCCCACTAACCCAGGGGGAAATTGACATACCCTAACCCGAAATGTTCACCTAAATTCCAAATTGAGTTGTGTTGTCTGACACCCAGAAGGTGACAAAGCCATAAAGTGTGGTGATGTGGAAAATATGAATTATTTAAACCTAAAAGTGACTAAATGCAAGAGTGCGCATGTGAGCAGGATTGAACCCATTGCACATGTGATGTCAGAGCATAAGTAAAGTACAATAAAAGTAGGATAAGAATTATACCATCGAAGGTACTCTTTTATACCAACATTTGCCAAGAATTCTCATCATCACAAAGGCTCTGCTATTAAAAACTGGAGGGGCGAAAATCAAGGGTGAGTAGGCCTGAAAATAAAATTTTGTAAAACCCTTTCGAAATGTAATAACCCCTTGCCGTAAAACAAGTACAGTTTCCAAAAATAGCATACTACGTATAGTATGAAAATAGTTACCATAAACAGTAATATCTCAAGAGTGCAATACTTCACAATATTCGATAAATAAACACATAATATCTCGTAATCACAGCATAAAAGAGCATATCATATCGAGTGCTCATCGACATATGCTGACACACGAGTTAACACAGAGATATTCTAACATGAACATGACTGGGTGTAATAACGATTTACGCTCTAGTACTAGAATCACGTGAAGAGTGGTGCTATGTGCATCAGAAACGAGTCCTAATTGCCTATAGCAATCTAGGACAGTACTAGCACCTACAATGGATCCAAAGTGAGCGTATGATGCAATGTGAACATACACGTAAAGACTGGTCCTGACCCAAGCAAATACTAACACCAGTGTAGCACACGATGAGCAAATAACGTAAATATGATCATGTAACGGTAAATCGATAATATACGTTGACATAATACTATTCATGACCATAACTATCATTGAGGCATCTCATAGGATTTATAATGATCTCCTAATTCTTATTATTACAACATTTCTTAAAAACGTTAATTTAGTTATGGCATCACATAGAAAATTTATTATTTGAGATATATATATATATATATATATATATATATATATATATAGATATATATATATATCTATATATATATATATATATATATATATAAACTAAACATATATATATATATTGTATAAAAGAAAAGACCCACTCACAAATACTTGTGAGGTTGCAACCGTTCGAACTAGGAAAGCCGAAGTTTCCAATAGTAATTGCACCTAGACATAATGTTAGGACCCGTTAGTATAACTCAACTAAAAAGTCACCCGGGCAAATTTTGTAAAAAGTCACCAGGAAAGTCAACGGTCAACCAAAAAGTCAACCGAGCAGCCTAGGCAGTCAACTATGTTAAAACTTTGATATTTCACTAAATGGATGCCAAAACGGACTCAGGGCATCAAAATTAACCTAGGAGGGTTTTCGAGAAAAATTCAAAAAAGTCAACTAACGGTCAACAGTTAAAGTTAACAGAATATTCCATCGTCAAACGAAATATTCTGTTAAAACTAATGGCAAGTTAATCGAATATACTTGGGGGAATATTCCCTACAAATTCTGAAATGAACCCGGGTTGGATTTGGTAAACTCGAGTTGGATCTAGGTTTGAGTCAGTTTGCAGATCCAGGTTTGGATCTGAATTTTGGTTATCAGGTCAGGTCGACCTGGTCCAAGTTGCGGGTCCAATCATTGGTTCTTGGGGATTTTGGCTGGGAAATTTCTCGAGCTCCGATTTGGGTTCAAATCTTAACCATTTTCTACATACTATATATGGATTTGAAGATATGGAAGTGTAAATTAGGAATATAGCAATATGGGGTCGAGTTGTGGCCGGAAACTAGACCTGGCATTCGTGTCGTGTTTTCTGTGTTCGTGTCATTTTCGGGTCATACCCGATATCTTAACGGGTTGTGTCGTGTAACACCTGTTAAAATAAATGGGTAAAATGACCCGACCCGATAATATTAATAGGTAATATGACCCGACCCGTTACCCGTTAAGGAAAATATATTTTAAACCAATAAGTAATCAAATGAAAAACATAATACTAAATAAGTATATACATACCATATTGTCACATCCAAAACATAAACACACATTTTTCTTTTAAGTATATTTTCACTTATCTAAAGTCTTTAATAGTTTTTTAATTAATGTAGAAGTGTAAAAAAATATAGAAAAAATATATAAACGCTCGTAATGACAAACTTTACAACTTTCATGAAGAGCTTAACTTCGAAATTCGCCACTGTAATCATATAAATCATAGATCAAAATTTAACCGTTGATTGTTATTTACATTTACGCTTCATTGTTATCATCAAATTTTGTTTTTTTTTTCAGATTTTCTTTTTTGAAAACTTGATTTATTAGAGGATGCAGGAAGATGAACTGTTTGGATCGTTGATATTATATTCAGAGTTTTACGGTTAGTGAAAATATTGCTTGATGTTTATAAAGTTTGTACAAACTATATGACATCGACTCATATTTCAGTTAACCGTAAATATCAAAACGTAATATCAAAGATTTGAATCGTTCATCTTCTTACATCCGCCATATGATCATGTTTCGAAAAAGAAATTTTAAAAAATGAAATTTAGTAAAACGAATAAAGCGTAAATGGCAATCGACGGTTAAATATAATTTAAGGTTTATGAATTATAGTGTTGGATTTCGAAGTTGACCCCTTCATGAAAGTTGTAAAGTTTGTTACTATGAGTGATTGTATATTTTTTTTTTACATTTTTTACACTTCTACAATAATTTTTATTAATTTAATTAATTTTTCCCTCAAATAAAAAACATTATTCATGAAGGTTTGGAGGATTTTAAAAATCTAAACGATAATGTAAGTGTAACCATTATCTACTCATGGAGGAATAATGATGAATCACGAGTGTTTATATATTCTTTCACATTTTTCATACTTGTATGTATGTCTTCTTAGTTCTTGCCTATACAAATACTATATTAGTTTATTTTAATTTTGGACAACAACATGTTAAGTAAAATTTATCCTAGTAATGATAATAAGGAACTCTCATAATTAAAATAAATAATGACTAAAACTTTTTTTTTTAAACTTATATAGAATAATAATACAAAATATATATTTAATATAGAATATATTGTATATATTAATATGGCTATTGTATTTTATAATAAATATTTTAGTAATTAAACTTTAAAATTATCAAAATAAATTTTTTCTTAACGGGTCGAAACGGGTTACCCACGTGTTACCCGCGTGTATATAATGACCCAATAAGTTATCGTGCTGACCCAAAACCCGTTATTTTCGTGTCGTTTTCATGTTGTATCAGAGATTACCGAGTCTACCGGAAACTGCTGAAAAATGGCATGCAACCCTACAAACTTTCGCCGAAATCTGGGAAATAGTTTCCCCAAGTTAATTTCATACTAATCCTTCACCAAAACAAGTATTTATCATCTGAAATCTAGACCACAAGGAATGAAAACTAAGGAAGTCTAGTGGCTTACCTTCACCGGAGTTGTCAGGAATTCACTGTGAGTCGTCGGAAGAACGTGAACAGTGGCCTCTGCCACTGTTGGGTTCTAAAGTCTTGGCTTGGTTCGACATGGGTAAGAAAATGACGATGATGGTGTTGGCCTTAGTTGGGGTGGTGCAGCTCACCGAAGTTGGCAAGGCAAGGTGGTGGTGTCGGTATTGTTGTAGATAAGAAGGACGCAAGAGAGTTAGAGTGAGAGAAAGAAAGAGTCCTGAGAGATGGGAGTAAAGAGACACGCGACAAAATAAGAGATGAGAGTTTGAGTGTGGGTCACAAGGGCCACAAAAAATCCCATGAGAAATTATTAAATTAATTAAGGACCAAAACTCTAAAATGCAAAAATACTAAAGTAGCCTCACGTTTGTAATTCCGTAAAATTTTAATTGTAACTTCAATTTTGATTCTGCTTGAGCCCACACATTCATAGCAACGAGTACTACGGAAATACAGTAAAATAGTAACTCATACGCGTCATGAAATGACGGTCAACAAAAGTCAACAATCTTGCCTCTCGAGGCATTTTGTTCAATTCACTCTTTTAGAAATAAAATATTGTAAAATCAGGGATAGGTCCTAACATATATCCTAACATATATCCTTGCCTAAGTTTGCCCTAGAAACGAGTTTTGAGTTAAAACTCATATTTACCCCAAGGGTTGGAGCAAGTTGGGGTAAGTTTAGAACCTAAACTTTGAGTTTTACTCTAAGGGTTTAAGTAGATCTTAAGCTTATTGTATTTTGTCAGAACTTGGGGGGGGGGGAGGGAGGGAATCAAGTATGCCACCAACACCTTATTATGGTGGTCATTAGAACTGACACTCAATCATTGTTGCCACCTTAACCATTATTGTCATACCATTATTGCCACAACCACTACTTCCCACCACTATCACCATCACCACGACCATGAATATAATATTATAAAGTAATATAAAAATGAAGACTATGACAATATTTTATGTTAAACAAGATCAAATCTGACTTATCTAAATTATGAACTATCAAATTAAATATCTCAATTCATATTTTATTAATTACATTGAATTGGAATTGAAATAAATGAAAATG